CGGATCGAAGTGGGGCGAGGCTGGGGAGTTCTGAGCTGTGTGTTTGTGATTTGAGCTGTCTGAAGTTTTGCAGGTTTTGGCAGCTGCAAGGACTAAGTTTGGTTCCTAGCTGCTTGCTGGGTAGTTGAGGTTGCTAGCTCATGACTCCTGTCCCCTCCCTTCAGGTCCCCACTAGAGTGTCACTCTTTTCTCCTACCCATGCCTGAGGCGATTTTGCTGTGGAAAGGAGAGAATGAATGTTTTCTCCGGGACAATGAGAAGAAGGTGAATGGAGGAAAACCCGGGGCTGAGGCAAGGGTTTGATCAGTCAAGCACTATTCTCAAAACCCAAGATGTACCCAGCCCTGTGGAGGATACAGAGGGATGATGTGGACATGCCTTCGAGAAGCTTAGCGTGTGGTTGGGAGAGAGAACTAACAGACCCAAAATCCTAAGGCGAAAGTGCTAGAGAAGTTTTGCTCTGGGGGTGGGTGCAGCGAAGAGTGACTTGAGTCAGGAACCTTGAGCCAGCTGTGCTGGGTGCAAGCGGTAGTTGAGAAAGTGGTCACGCAGCGACGTTGGAGAAAGCAGCTACCATGGGAGACTGTGACCCCCATGAGGAAGCGGCAGACGTTATGGAGAGACTTAGCAGCACATCTGGTGAACCCGTTTCAAAGGAGGAATGGATGATTGGTTCACTGACTGTTGTGTCTGTGTGGCTGTTTAAAATGCAGACTCTTGGGCTCTACTCCAGATAGTACGACCCCCTTCTTATGTGGTCTGGTGTGGTGTCCAGGGATGCCCAGGTCCTTCTGGTACCGTGGCCTGCAGGACGTGCTTGGGGAAATACTGGTAAAGGATGGATTAGGCAAAGCTGATTAATTCTTTCCACGAGAGACAAATTAGGAAGGAGGCATCCAGGTTGGGCTGCCTGATTTTTGTCACTGTTTCAGAAGGACGGGTCGAGAGCAGGTCACGGAAGGGAGGATAGAATTAACTCCTCAACTGGAGATGGTATTGCTGCAGTCCTCATCCTTCACCCAGATACCCGTGTTCTCCCTCTTACCCACTTACTGTCACCTCGAGGAACATAACGATGCTAATTTAAAATCGTGTCTGGGTTCAGCCCTTGTGTGAGCCAGCTGGTTTTAAGCCTAGGGAAGCTCTGTTTTTGGGACGATATAACTCCAGGAAGTGATCCTGTAATGAGTGTGTGCTTTGTTAGATTTGGTGAGTGAGGAAATACAGATCATCAGATAAAAACAAAACAAAACAAACCTGTTAAATAGTGTTATTAGAAGAACCAGGGGAAATCATGGGGGTAAATACACTTCAGTAGATTCTTCACGTTGGAAAACCACCGTATTATAATCACATCTTGCATAGCAGACACCTGACCTGGGAATGGTCTTTACAGATGAGCTTTGGATTGCTACCTCTTTCTTGCCTGAAGGCAGAGCTGTGCAGGGTTTACTTGGGGAATGACCCAGGCTGTCCCACTCCTGCTTCTCCTTGAGGGAGTGTGCTCTGCAGGCCACACCTTGCACCCACTCCAGAGATCACCACCTGCAAGTTACTATTCACTTCAGCTTCCTCCAACTCTATCCCTGGTCCATGTGTTTGACCTTCCACCCCCCCTTTTTAAGCATAAATATTTCCTGCTGCCCCCACACCATCAAGAAAAAAGAAAACACTCTGGGGATAGGGCAGGGGCAGTGGTTCATAATCCTGGCTATACCTGAAGATCAGCTGGTCAGCTTTATAAAGTATCAGCATTTGAGCCTCATCCCCAGAGATTCTGTTCTCATTTCTCTGCGCATCAGAACTTTTAAAGCTCACTGGGAAATTCTGACCCGGTGGTTAGGATTGAAAGCCACCTCGGTGTAAGTGAGGTGGATTGATACTAGCAGTGTCTCAAGGAAAATGGAAGCTGCAGGATTTGAAATGAAAATAGGTATTTTAAAATCATACCTTTTGCTGCTCCTGCCCCAAATGCATGCAAAGTCCCTAGGCTTCTCCTTCTCCCTATCTTCGTCCTTTATTTAAGCCTGCTTTCTATTAAGCACTGGCATTCAAAATGAAACAAAACAAAAACGAGAACATTCCTCTCCTCACTTTAGCATTTTGGTGGCATCGTTTTTCCTCTTTATGCAGTTGACTGTGACCTGTGCCCCCATGAACTCTCCGGACGCAGCAGGCTGTGACCTTCCTCACCTGTCTGGGCCTCATGTTCTGGTGGAGTGGTTGCGGTGCCACAGAACCCTGTACAACCAGAGGATGTGGACTGTCACACGGAACCAGTGGTCACACGCTTTGGTCCATGAACACACACAGTAGTCCTTGTTTTGTGGTGTGAGGAGGCCCACTGCTAGGGTTTAGGGAGATAGCTGAGAGATAATAACTTTTTTTTTTTTTTGATGAAAACTTCTGTTGAATAAACAACTTGGGAGCCTCTTTTTCATTTTTGAAAAAAGAAAAAGTAAGAGTGATGACCAGAAAAAGAGTGATGACCAGAAAGTAAACCAGTAGTAAATTCTCAAAAGCATTTTAAGGTGTTTTTTTTTTCTTTTATTTTTTTTTTAGGAGCCAATTAGAAATTAGATCTGCAAATTAAGACCTAGTGATTGGCAGTTGAGGGTTTTCATTCATCTGGTCTCTAAATTCCCATGTGTTAGATTCCAAAAAATTCTTCCAGTAAATGTGCTTTGTTGTCTTTGAATTTTACATGAAAATATTTTGTGGCATAATGCTTGTTTTTTAAAACTTTCTTGGGCCTAAATTTTGGATTATGCATTGAAAGTGAGTGGAGCCCTTCGAATGGAGGAATACCGAAACAAAAGCAAGTAAAAAGTAGAAAGTTGCCCTTTTTAAAAAATCTAATGTAACATTGATTCTGAAGGACAAAAGGTGAAAACTCGAGGTATAGTTTCTGTTTTGAGTTTGGGGAGGTGAGTGATCTCGCTGCAGTTATAAGTAACTTCTCAAACACCACTCAGAGTTCCTCTGGTCTCGTTGACCTCCTTTTTTCCCTTCTGTAATTACTGAATATGGCCCTTAAAACCCATGTAGGACCAAATACAGAATCTAAACTCTGTGATCTCATCACCACAAAAACAGGCTGTAGGGACAGTCCTTCTCCTTGCAGGAAGACGCCTCCCCTTGGGACCTCCGTAAGTCTGTAATTTATAGCGGTGCCTTTGTAGTCTTGAACTCAGAGAGGAACTCCCCCCCCCCATCCTTACAGGAGGAGTGTAACAGTTGGGTGGCTCTAGGTGGAGAAGGGGCCAGAGGGAAAGCAGGCGTGTGTGCACCTGTCACAGATCTCACTTTAAGGGCGCCCACACATCCGTGGATCCTTTGGGCAGAGGGCCTGCGCCACAGGCGGCATGCTGTGGGGCGTGATGGGCATTCCCTTAATACTTGTAGGTGTGGTTGGGATGAATGCGAGGCCTGCCTCTTCCTGAGGTGTGCTCTAAGAGAGGACGTTGGCTGGAGATGGATTCCCTCCCTTGCTGCCAGAACCCTCTGTGACGAGGTGGGGGATCCCTTTTATGGGCGAATAACAGGACGCCCTGAGACACCCAGGGAGCTGCTGTTCACCAGCTGGTGCGGTCCTGCAGCGGGTGCCTGGTAGTACCAGGGCGGTCAGCAACCACGGGGGCCCCGGAGCCTGGCTCATCTGCGGGCTGTCGCTGAACGCCAGAGGAGGCCCTTTCTGGAGGAAACGTTTGACCCCAAGTGATCACCTGGTCCGTGCAGGTTTCTCCGTGTCCTTCAGCGAGATTCCTGGGGCTTCTGAAGTCGGGGGAGGCTTGAACCTACGCCCTGCGGCCGTCCCTGGCTGCCTCCCAGAGAAAGGCTCGTGGGCGCTGCTGCCCTGCCTGCCCGTGGCTTCGCCGGCCGAGGCGTGACTGTGGGGATCGTGTCCCTGGGGGCTCGAAGCCCGGCAGTAGTGCCCTGAGGGCAGTGACTTGGACTGAGCGTGGGTATCACCCTGGCAGAGGGACACCTCCCGGGGAAATAGGCCGAGTCGGTCACCGGCGCCCTCCTCCTGGAGTCCTTCACTCAACAAGCTCCTGCCTCCTCTTGTGACAGAGCAGGAGGTCGGGGTGGGGGGGGGGGCGGCAGGTGAGACCAGCCCTGGGGAAACTGGTTGGAGGGGAGGACGGGAAGGAAGTGGATGCTGGCGCTCAGGTCCCGGCTCAGGTCCCGGACAGGCTTCCTGAGCCAGAGGAAGGCCTGGGAGGGCCCCACGGGTGGACCGGGTGTGCAGGGCGCCCCTGAGCTGTGCTACGATGACTTCGTTTCCAGAGGGGGAGAGGGGCGCCTCAGGAGGAGCGGCTGGTGGGGGGGGCAGAGGTGTGAGACGGGCAGTGTGTTCAGGAGGGGTGAGCGGGAAGCTGGGGCCTGTGAGGAGCGTGGCAGGAGACGGGGAGCCCTAGGGAGGTTCTTGGCTCCTTGTCTTGAACCTTTGAAACGTTTCTTTGTGTCCTGGGCTGCAAACCTATTAGTATCACTTAAAGAGAAAACCCAAGAGAGATAGAGAAGTAAACAAATACTCGAGTACCTGGCTCCAGATGAGGGGCTTTGGTAAATATAACCCCTGCCCCTGTCAACTCGGATAGAGGGCATCGGAAGAAAGGATGAATTTTCTTGCTTTTGCCAACTGGTCACCTTGCTTTCCCCTCTGTTAAGAGGATGCGTGTGCTGACGACTCTCTTCTCTCCATCATGACTTTGTTGGGAGTTTCATGGAGGTTGTAGCTGGTTTAAAATTATTATTATTATTTTTTTAGATTTTATTTGACAGCATAAGCAGGGGAGGAGCAGAGGGAGAGGGAGAAGCAGATGCCTCGACCCCAATGCGGGACTCGATCTCAGGACCCTGAGATATTATGACTGGAGTGGAAGGCAGCCGCTTAATTGACCGAGCCACCCAGGCGCCCCAGCTGTAGCTGGTTTATAAACTCTCTGCTGCTTGTCTCCCAGGGCGAGTGTGCTCACAGGTTTTCTTTTCTCCAGGTCTCTTTCTAGGTTTCTGTGGTCAGCTTGTCCAGAGGAGCTTTCTGGGTTCCCTCCCGAGTGAGACCGCCTCTCTCTGTTTTGCAAGCACGTGGAGTCTGGGGTGAGACAAGGTGAGTGGGGCGCATAGAGAATCTGTCCACTGACAGATCCTGTTTTCAAAGATGAATTATTCTCTGAAAATTTTGAGGCTTTTGAAAGTAAATTGGGTTTTTATTCAAAGAGATTTAAGAATTTTAAAAAATTTTGGTGTCTTAATTACTGTGTTAAAGCATGCTTATTAATAGGGATGCTTCAGTACATTTTTTTTTTCCAGAACTCTTCTAATTTTATTGTAGTCATTTCAAGATTTGGGATCTCTCTATGGTTCCTAGCCCAGTACTGAAAACATTTAGTATGTGTTGTGTGAATAGCTTGTTAATATTGACAGTTCACAAAACAGAAGTCCTGTTAACTTATTCTGACTTGTGTCTTTGCCCTTCCCTGGGTTTATTTTTCTCTTTTCTTTTCTTTTCTAAGATTTTATTTATGATGAGAGACACACTGAGAGAGGGAGAAGCAGGCTACCTGCAGGGAACCTGATGCAGAACTTGATTCCAGGACCCTGGGATCATGACCTGAGCTGAAGGCAGGCGCTCAACTGCTGAGCCACCAGGTGTCCCTCGAGGAGGATTTTTTTAGTTGTATGGCTTTAGGAACTTTAGGAAAGCCGCTACTCTTCTGTACTGCGGTTTTCCTGTACTGCAGTTTTATATGTAAATTTTTGAACAAAAATACCTACTTTAAGGGTTTTGGTGAGGCTGGAGGCTGCTCTGATGGGCAAAACTTTTGTTCTGTTCACATTGTGAGTTGCATTCTCTATCTCTAATGTGTGGCAGTTAGTAGGGCTTAAATATCCCCTTTGCTTTAAAGAAGAGAGTTGGCTGAGAACTGGGTCTTCAGTCCCATTAAGTGAGCACAGCTTGGAGGATTGTTATTTATGCTCAGCTGCTCACAGTTGAGGCTGCGGAGCAGAAATTCGCGGGAGCTCTGGATAGAATGGTTGAGGCCTCTGAAGACTGCCCTGTATTCCTTCTCTGTGGGTGTTGGAAGGAGGACCCATGGGAGATGGGGATCAAGGTTATAGCTGCTTCCAAATCTCTGTGAGTTCTTGAAATGTCCATGTAAGATGCAGGTGCACTCTGCCAGCTGTCACATGTGGCTTGCTGGCAGGATGTCCCATTCTGCACTCCCCACTCCTGCCACGCTTTGCTTGTTGTAAAGAATGCAGTGGTCACAGTGCCCCTAAAATTTTGGGCGACGCTGCCAAAAGGTAAAGCTGCTCAGCAGGAGTGTGGCTGGGGAGTACCCAGCAGAACCTAAGGTGAAACTTTAAAAATTAGAATACTGGGACCCCCCCCCCAGGTGTGCTGAAGTAGAATTTCGGGGATGAGGAGGGAGTCCTTGCTCTATATGTTTGTTTTTTAAAACTCAAAAGAAGATAGTATATCACTTCTTGAAAAATATTTGTATGTGGACCAGACTTAAAAACAAAGAGACTCTTTCTTAGCCTGAGCAGATGTTTGGGGGAATTATTTTTGAACTCTACTAACTAGTTTAACCAGTTCATACAGCCAAGCCAAACATTCTCTTGTGCCATAATTTGCATGGTAGAACCATTTTATAACTTTAAGTTAAAATTGCCTGGGACGACACTATTGTTGTGAGTATACAAGGAATGAGAAAAATGACACTGAAGATGAATTTTCTAAGTTTATCTTTTTTTTTTCAATTTTCTAAGTTTAATGAGAGTTATGGCTTATTTAGAAATCCAAGCGGAAAACTGCTTAAATGGAATTTCACCCCCAAGTACGCAGAGATTTGCATATTGAAACCAAAGCTTTTTGACCTATGGTAACACATTTTTCAAAGTAGTATTGAAATTGAAATTTAAAGGTATGGCCCTCAGAGATTTATTAGACAGGAAATTTATTTAGTAAGGTATACATTTTTCTTCCTCTTCTAGGAGGTTTTTGGGTGGTAGCGAATTAGCTACTTTTTCTTTATTCCTTCCCTGGGACCAACTTCAGGAAGTCGATAGGAGCTTAATAGCAAAGATCATGTTAAATGTTTTAACTCTCTCTCTCTCTTTTTTAAAAAAGATTTTATTTGAGAGAGCGAGAGAGCGCGCGCGCGCGCGCGCACACACACACACACACACACACACACACACACACACACACACACAAGTAAAGGGAGAGGGGGAAGGAGAAGCAGGCTTCCCACGGAGCAGAGAGCTGGACTTGGGGCACAGGACCCTGGGATCAAGACCTGAGCCGAAGGCAAATGTTTAACCAACTGAGCCACCCAGGCGTCCCGTAACTCTGTCTCATTTGCAAATTCCCTTTCTCTGAAAGAAAACCTTGCAACTTGTTATTATTTGATGGAGAATAAGTTGCTATTTTGAGATCAAAGAATCCCGTTTAGAGAGGGGCCTTACAGATGACCGGTTACCTGCTTTTCATTGCCTCGACTTCATGGAAACTTCTCTTGTTAAGGTTACACGTGGCCTCTGATAGAGCTCTGACCTGGCTTTTCTGTAGCACGTTGTAGTATTGACCACTCCTCATTTGAAACTTTCTCCTCTGGGTTCCTTTGCATCATTTCTGCCTACATTTCTTCTTCTTTAATTTCTTCCTAGCTCCTACTGTATCTGCCCTTAAATGTTCATGTTCCTTGAGCTTTGATCCTTGGTGGTTTTCTTTTAGTCTGCTGAGCCTCTTTGGGGGACCTCAACACTTCTGTGGTTTCAGCCACCACCCACATGCTAACGACCCTCAGGTCCTTCTGTGAGTTCATCTTCTTGTCTCAAACAATCTAGTGGACGTTTCTACTTGGATGACTCATATTTACTGTTAAGTAGGAATATCCAAACTGAACTCTTTTCCTTCCCAGTTGTTGCCTGCTCCTGTCCGTTCCCCACTCCCCCTGCCCCCCATTCCCTCATTCCCTGTCTGCTCTTCCCACTTTGGTCATTGGCACTCTTCAAGCCAGGAATGTGTGACTCATCCTTCATCCTCCCTCAGTCAGCCCCATCTCTTGATTTGATTTGCAATTTCTATCATATTACTAACCTAAATAAAAAAGGAAAAGGCCATTCCACTGACATTTAAAGATTCTAGTCATCAAAAGTGGTAGTTGTGCTTATATAAGCAGACACAATAACATGAGACAGTTATGACCATTTATTTATTTTTTTAGAATATTTTATTTATCTTTTATTTTATTTATTATTTTTAGATTTTATTTATTTATTCATGAGAGACACGGGGAGAGAGGCAGGGACACAGGCAGAGAGAGAAAGAAGCAGGCTCCATGCAGGGAGCCCGACGTGGGACTTGATCCCAGGTCTCCAGTATCACGCACTGGGCTGAAGGTGGTGCTAAACCGCTGAGCGAGCTACCCAGGGATCCCCTAAAGATTTATTTTACAGGGAGAGTGTACAGGGGGTAGGGGAAGGGGCAGAGGGAGAGAGAATCTTAAGCAGACTCCACGCTGAGCTTCAAACCCAACAGGGGCTCCATCTCACAATCCTCAGATCATGACCTGAACCAAAACCAAGAGTCAGATGCTTAACCAACTGAGGCATCCAGGTGCCCCATAAGTTCAGGATCTTAAGGCTCAGAGAGATTAAGTTCAGTAACTTAATCTGAAGATCACAGAGCAAGTAAAGCAGGTGGGGTTGGGATTGGGGGATTTTAAGCCTGTGGATTGATCTGCCAACTCCAGAACCTTTGATACCATGTCACTCTGTCTTGTGTGTTCCCATAATGCCACTGCTACTTGAGACTTCTGGTTGGTAGGCTGACTTTGTTGAGGGCAGGAACTGGGTGTTATTCAAAATTATGTGTCCTATATTTTTTCTTAATAGGTACTAAAAACAAGATTTTTTTTTTTTAGGTTTTATTTATTAGCACAAGAGCATGTAATCATGGAATCAGTGGGGAGGAGCAGAGGCTGAAAATGGGGCCCCGTCTCACAATCCTGGGATCATGACCTGAGCCACAGTTAGGTGCTTAACGGACTGAACCACCCAGGCACCCCAAACCTCTACTTTTAAAGTTTTAAATTTAATTCCATTTAGTTAACATACAGTATTGTATTAGTTTCAGGTGTACAATATAGTGATGCAACACTTCCATACAACACCAGGTGCTCATCACAAGTGGGCTCCCATCACCTATTTCACCCATTCATCAACCCACCTCCCCTCTGGCAACCACCAGTGTCTTCTCTAAGAGTCTTTTTCTTGATTTGTGTCTTATATTTTTCCTTTGCTCATTTGTTTTGTTTTAAATTACACATAAGAGTGAATGTAAAAGACAAATACTTTCTCTTATTTCGCTTGGCATTTTACTGTCTACCTCTATCCGTGTTGTTTGCAAATGGCAAGATTTCACTCATTTTTGTGGTAGAGTAATATTCCATTATATATGTTTGTGAATTATATATGTACATGTATGTGTATATATATGTATATATACACACACACACATATACGTGTGTGTGTGTGTGTGTGTGTGTGTGTGTAGGCCTCATCTGCTTTATCCATTCATCAGTCAAGAGACACTTGGGCTGCTTCCATGATTTGGCTAGTGTAGGTAGTGCTTCTATAAGCATAATGGTGCATGTATCCCTCTGAATTAGGGTTTTTGTAGGGTTCTTTGGGTAAATACCCAGTAGTGTAATTGCTGGATCATAAGGTAGTTCTATTTTTCACTTTTTGAGGAAACCTCATACTGTTTTATACAGTGGCTGCAGCAGTTTGCATTGCCACCAACCGTGTACAAGGGTTCCTTTATTTCCACATCCTTGCCAATACTTGTCATTTCTTGGGTTGTTGATTTTAGCCATTCTAACAGGTGTGAGGTGACAGCTCATTGTAGTTTTGATTTGCATTTCCTCTGATGATGAGTGATGATGGGCGCTCTTTCATGTGTCTTTTGGCCATCTGGATGTCTTTGGAGAAATGTCTATTCATGTCTTCTGCCCTTTTTTAAATTGGATTATTTGCTTTTTGGGTTGTTGAGTTGTATAAGTTCTCTATATATTTTGGTTACTAACCCTTTATCAG